CCGCACCCGAAATAATTATAATTTTTACATCCAAGAAATTTAACAGCATTAACCGATGCAATTCTGGGTACGAAATGGAAACATTTAACATGAGCACTCTTATCTGGGTCGTAATTTGGCTCTTTGATGTTGGACAAAACTCCCTTTCACGGGCATTGGGAAACTTCGTCGTAAACGCAAAACATACTTCCGTTTAACTGGATTTAATTAATTCACTTTTCTTCGTCTAACGTAACACACACTTGAGCTTAACTCGACTAGACTTTCATCTACAAAACTGACTCGTCTATTTTACAAAAACTTCGATACCGGCAAAAACTTACCAACCAATAATGGCAACCACGAAAAAACCCTATACTTCGCTTTATTATTTATTAAAGTTAAATTATTTCGTCAAGATGAACATATGCTCAACGCAGGATATAACACGTGCTTATCTTGAAACTAATTAACAAACGCAGTGATGTGGAAACCATGCTTACGACCGGAGATAATTTTTACAATAACAATAAACTTAACGCAAATCCAAATTTACAAACAAGTAAACAAAATAAACAAAGCGATTCCTTAAACAAAATTAACATTAAACAGTCTCAGTACAAAATAAAATTGACCTCGGATCCAAATAATAATCAGATTTGCTTTCAATCTAAAAATTAACGACCACATTTACGCTTGAAAAGTATTTAAAATGCACTCATCATTACTACAAGTGCCCAAGCCAAATTAAAAGTCGGCCTGACGTAGTTTACAAACAATCCATTATTCGAATATACTTCTAAAGCGTTTTTTTTCTTAAAACCCTCAATCTACATGAACTGTTATGTTCCTTTCATATGTGCCACAGTAAAACCTTTTAACCTTTAATTCCGTGTATTTACCTTTCATGTCGTAACGTACAGGCTCAAAATGTAATAATTTTCAGATTATGAGAATGGTTCAGGGTTTGCTCGCAAAGTAACAGAATGAGACTAATAATTAATCACAAAGCTAGGGGCCATCCAAAACTACTCGTATTGCAAATTTACCGATATGAAGTAGACGCAAATCATCAATTGGTATAAAGAAATGAAACTGAAATGTGTCAGAACGAATACTGCAATAGTACATAATCTGTCTACGTCATCTCGTAGAGTAATATAGAATTTGCTGACGAATATCATAAAATGAAAATGTCACTTCACTTTCACCAGAGCTTTCGGCCGCTATAAATCAAAAATAAACCCACCCGTTCCTCTGTAAACACACTTTCAAATAATTTCGTTTCCTTAAATTATTAAATAATAGAAACGTGACTATTTTATATTACCCACCTACGTGTATATTCGACCCCGGTAACTGCGAGGTTGGAGTTGGGAAAACTATCTCACAACAACAAACAAAATTAATTCAAGTTATAATTGAGTTGAGTTGCTTAGAATTTAATCACAATTGATGCAACTATAAAAGTGGCGAGGCGACGATTTTAACGAGAGCCCGTATCTGCAGAAATGACCCGTAACGACGCAATTTCTGCAATTCTCCCGAGTCGCACCTTCCAGAATAAAGCCCAACCACAAAAGCCAAGCAGTTTGTCGAGTTATATCTTGGCTTTACTCGCACTTTTATGGTTTGTCGTATTGTTCCCTCTTAATTATTTTTGATATCTGACACGTGCCGTCACTAAACTCGCAGACTTTCTTTTCGAGTTCTTGATTGCTGGAAGTTTGCAGAGCACAGTTTACATCTAAACGTGTATTTAAAGCGAAGTAATTTATCTGCGATTTAACTTCGCCAAACTTTCACGCGCAATTAAGGCAAATATTATTTACAACTTGTTGAAGTGCACATATCTTTAGTTATATTAAGAAACTCTGCATCTTTGCGTTAGCCGTTTCGAAGGTAAGTACGGGCGAAAGATTAATGAAGTACAGCTGGGAAGTTTTGAAGCTTATTTAAGATTGCCGCTGAGCTTCAATGCGTTCTAAATTAACTTACATATGGAAATTCTCAAGTTCTTCCAACTATAACTAACCACAGCTACTTTGCATAGTTTAGACTAACTAGTTTAATTTTGAAAGCGTGTATTTTCCTACTTATGTTAGGCGCAGATTGTTTTCCATGCTTAGTTTTATTGTATCGTACAACTTAACAGCCAAGTGCGTGTAACTCATGCTCAGATTATAACTTTGAGCGAACTGGAGTTCAGTTGTACACCATATTACACTTCCAAGTACTATTAACATTTTTCTTACTGTACACTTCCGCTAGAAACTATTGAGATGAATAATCAACCGCAAACTACTCGATTTGCAAATCTAAGCGAATTTAATGATATGATAGCCAATTATACAACGAACCACAATAAACTCAATATCGGAAAAAGGAAAATAGAAATGTTTGCATTTAACACAAGCACCGTTTTGCTATACAACAAACCCGACAAAATGTCGTAGCCAAGTCGTAATGCAGTTGATGGTGTTGGCTATGGGACCCCATGTTTGAGTTTCACTCCAAAATAAAAACATAGACAGTTATCCATCCTTTATTTCCCTTGGCATGTCAGCGGTTCCCGACGGACGGCGAACAAATGAAGGGTTACAGATCTCTCTTGTATAAATTAAAGTTGAACCTCTATGGCACTGACAAAAAATCTTAATATGGCAATTAATTTTTATTTGGCCCACGGCTAGCTCAGCTATAAATTTTTTTCTTGATTCACCTTGCAGCAGTTTAGCCCATTGTCTCATATGAATACCTCAAATTCAAAATCTAATGCTCTGTTAATCCAAACACTCGAATACACATATACATGCGAACTTAGTTGATTGAAATATTAATAGAAATAAAAGAGGTTGAATTCCATTTTTTTTTTTAAAGTTACTTGATTTTTTTCATAAAAAGAAATACAAAAAATGCAATTCCTGTCTCATGATCATGTAGCAATGTTGGATATAATTCTTATCTAAACTGTCCTTTTTTCATACATAATAAATTCCTGGTACATTCTCCTGTTTAAAATATGCACATACCTCTGAATGCCAAACAAATTTTAATCTACCCGAAGAACTAGTAGTATGACTGAAATTAAATGCAAAATTACCAATCAACCAAATAAAATAACAAAATCCTTTATTTGGATTCGATTCTTATTCATAAATGTATTACAAATTTGTCCATGCAAATGTCTCTCATAGATCGATCCCATTAGGAATATTAAAATTAATATGAAAAGTGCTAAAAACAATCGAGCGCTACTATACAAATCCAAAAAATTAAAATAAACCTCAATACGGATCTAGAAAAGCGGCATAGCACCTCGGTGTGATCCGACGGGGTAATTGGATTTAACCCATTTTCAATAGACTTCTTACATGTGGCATATAGGTCAATTATGCAAAGTTTGAATCGAATCGGTCCAAGTGTTTTGCAGTTCTCGTGTTCACGGATAGACAGACGGGCAGACGGACACCATCGATTCCTCTATAATCTGGTATCGCTTTGCACTGCCGCTTAATAACTTACTAATTTAACGGAAAAGGTAATCGTGATTGTGCACAAGAATAAAATGCCAATGTTTCGCTGCACTGATATTAATTTTGCCCAATTTATTAACTGGGTTTTGTTGCATATAAATGCACCGATTAATCGTTTTAAAACTCCCTGCCGTCGGCCGTTGTATACCAAATTTTATTGATCGCCACTCAACTTTGAGAGGCTGGTTTTTGACTGACCGTTACTATTAGCGATCGGAAAAAAAGAAAATCTTTGTTTATCACTATGAAATTATCAGTTTATTTAATCCCGTTTCCATTTGAAAGGCGCTTCTCCGACGCCAAAATGTTCCTTCGCTTAAATTATATATATAATCAAGATAACCTCTTACCCTGAAGTGTGAGCCGTAAATTTTACCACTCGTAAAAATGCGCGCGAGCATCGAGTTGTTTTGCAAAGCAAAACCGCTTGCGAATTCCGAGCACTATTAAAAGTACTCGAGCGGAAAAACCGCTCGCGAGCAGAAAAAAAGCGCTAGAGCGCCGAGCACTTTAGGAAACGCTCGACTATCGAGCACCAAGCGACCGCTCCGAAAAGTGCTCGTGAGCGGCCCGCTCGCAAGCGCTTTTTCCGCTTGAAGCGCCGTTTCGAGCGAAATGCTCGCGTGCAGTGCCCAGCTCTGCTTGTCTCTCACTTTTGGCTAGTCTCTTTACACACACAGCGACAGAGGAACTTCATTCATGTCTGAAAAATTTCCTAAAAAAAACGTAAATCAACACCGTATAACCCACAAGACAATGGTCAAGTGGAACGCAAATAACGAAAATATAAAATTTCTTGGTTGGTAAGATATTCAAATTGAAAGCCCTTCGCTTCAATGAAGCTTGCGCTAATCCTTGCAATTTTGTATTATATATAT